AGAACTCGCTTCCTGCTAGGGCGAGGTTTCGCATGGTGGTCGTGGCAGAGTCCTCGGCGAAGTCCTTCAGTCGACGCTCTCCGAGGGTTGGTTTGGACGGGTCCAGTGTGGCCATATCAACGCACACGGAATTTCGATCGGACGCATTCAGTGCGGGATCGTCCATGCCGCTGGAGGGCTGCCGTGAGCTGCCGTCTTTGCTTTCCATGTCACTGCACGTACAACTGGGACTGCTTACACCATCCTGTTGATCCTCACCAGAACCTGAAAGCCCGCCGACTGTGGAGTCAAAGGGTTGATTTACATTCTCCTTTTCCTTGTGCGCCCTCCGACACTTGTAACGATGATTTTGGAACCAGATCTTTACCTAAAATAGGAAATTGAAATGGCGAACATCAATGTTTACAGACAGGTTGGTGAAGGACAAAGAAACGTGTTTTTCAAGCCAACGGCAGTGCCTGAAGCGTATGAACGAAAAATTAAACAAACAGACACACGTTAAGCAGTGAACTATCGGGTCGCGTCGCGGGCGCCCCCGACGTTTCCTCTTGGACGTCTGAGCGTGTCTCTTTGTTTTTACCTTTTGCATTATACATATCGTTTTTAATTATTATATTTTTATGTCTGCTTATTCTTGCTTTAGGTCTTGTTTGGTGATGTTTGTTTGTTGTTTACTGTTTGTTTTATGTCATCATTTTATTTAGCGTTCTTATTTTGAATTTATTTTCATTGGTTGTTGTTGTTATATTACTTTTTATATTGCTTAATCTTATTTTACTACGCGCTTATTGTTGTTTTGTATATTATTATTCATTGCTATCATTCCATTTATCGTTTTTATTATTTTTTTGGTTGTCATATGACTGTTTTGACATATTATTTTCATACGGGCACAAATTTATATTCTATGATGCAGTAAAAGAGACAATTAGGCGTTTTAACCATAGATGTAATTCGATTTTTTTTTGTGGTAAGTGTTTTATTTGATTTTCATGCAGTTTGGTTTCTGAGACGTTTGCTTGTACTGGCAATAGACGAACAGCACACGCGTCCAATAGGAAACGTTGGCGTTCCCGCAATGCGGCCCGACGGTTCCATGCACACGTTAAGGTAACGCACGGGATCCGTGTGAAGGCGATTTTTAATTTATTTGACTTGATGCAAAGCTCCGACTACATGTACGGCTAAACACGCGTCCAAAATGTTACTCGTTTGGGTAAGAATTACTTATGGAATTGGCTGATGAAGCCCAATGAGCCAGAACTTGTCAATCCGGGCTTCTTTGTCTTTGATTTACTGATTTATCTGCACATGCTATTAGTCACTATGCGGTCACCTGCGAGTGCTGTAGATTTAGCCTGAAGGCCTAACGGGGCGAGTGTGTCATGTAATTTAATCATTGATCGCCATTATATCATAAATATATATTTTTGAACGAAATGCAACAAATTCTATTTCGTAAAAAGTTGACGCAAAACAGTTCAACTTTCACCACGCATGGAACAATTCAATATTGCTTCATCGTTTCCGCTAATAGGTCGATGTTTTGGACTCACATCCTGTTCTGACTGGTTATCGCCAAGTAATTCGCGAACCATCGCATTATATGGCTTCCAAAACCTATAAGTTGGCAAGTCCCGTTGTATCCCAGGAGAATTTGTATTTAGTTTCCAGCATTTGAATAGCATTCAGGATACGCGTAGAGGTTGGGTTTCGAGTTTGACCACAATACACTGCATTTCTTTTTTGACTGTGTTAGTAAAAGGCGTTTTAAAACCAAATTATTGCGATAAGAAAAAAATGGCTTAGCAGTCTTCAAAACAGTCGATGTAGCCGCAAAGAGCTCCCTACCTTGTCATTTTATCCAGTAGGTAGGAATTATTTGGGGTAATTATATAAAAATACCGGCTTATTTAAGAGATATAGTTCCAAAGTAAAAAATAAGGCGCTGCTTCTGCTTGTATCCAAAATTGAAAATAAGATATTGGTTTTTTCATCGGTGGTGGTGTTACTGATATTTCCTAGGAAGAAAGTGATCGCGCTCTAGCCATACAGACCAACCAGTGTTCATTGTAGGCCAGATGGACGCTTAAGCTTTCGAGTTATCGAAGTCATCTGAATATAGGACATTTTCACCTTTCCCGGTGGTATAGCTCCTTCAAACATCATATAACCGAACATAAGACGTGGCCAATAATTGTGCTAAAAATATTCCTTCACCTAGTCGAACTTGTCGGAGATTGCTAGGAGTCCCGTAGGCCAGGTGAACGCTTTCGGTTTCGAGCGATTCCATGTCGCTTTGTCTAAGTAGTGAGCTCCGCCCTGGACTTTTACTATCCGAATTCTACATTTGACAGTTTCGAAGGTCACATGTCGAGGCCGACAGTGTGCGCACTTTGACAAAGCATAGGTCGGATCTGTGTACTATTAATGTCTTTGTGCTTGTGTGACCAGCGGAACAGACTCTTTCTTGCGTGGGACCGCCAAGTACTTTGGTTCCAGCCGGTCAAAAGAAAAACGGCTAGAAAAAGTAAATGATGCGACTGCTAAATGCTCATCCTATCTGGCTATACTAAGGGGGAGAAAGGAAGTTGACGAGGAGTAAAAGAGTACTATGAGGGCGGAAATTAAGGAAGAGTGCGTAAGGAGGAATAATGTATTGAAGGGAAATAGGAAGTACGTGTGAAGGAGGAAAAGAGGAAAGCAAAAGGGGTACGTAAGAAGTGGGGGGGGGCATAGCGAAGATAAGAAACTGACCTGTGTGGGTGTGAGATTGATGAGCTGGGCCAAGTGCTCACGTTCCGGCGCGGAGAGGTACTTCTGCTGTTTAAATCGTCGCTCGAGTTCATAGACTTGCGCCTGACTGAACAGTACTCGCCTCTTTCGACGATGACCACCG